AGCTGTGGTTCATTTACACAATGGAATAATACTCAACTGTAAAAAAGTAGGAAATCTTACCCTTTGTGACAGTGTGGATGGACCTGAAGGCATTATGCTAAGTGAAACAAGCCAGTCAGAGAAAGACAGGTATCACATTATTTCACTCATATATGGAATCTAATGAACAACAAGATTTACTCTTTAGGATAAGACTTGCCTTGTCATATATTTATGTGGGTTTTGGGGTAATGAAGAGGCATTAAGGGCTGAAAATAATAATGAGTTATGCACTCCTCTGGAATTTCAGTTATTCTCTGTGCATGGCTAGAGAAACCTAACTCACTGTGTAGAGTTGCAAATTCTTCTCTCTCACTGTCTCCATTTCTCTTTGTATATCTTAGCACCAAACAGCCTCTTGTTCTTAATTCCTCCCTTCTTCAAGCCCTGATATGTATAGTATCTAAAATATAATTGCAACCAAGAAATAGAGAAAAAAAATGTAAAAGATGAAGTCTGCCCTGGCCGGTTTGGCTCAGCGGTTAGAGCGTCGGCCTGCGGTCTGGAGAGACCCGGGTTCGGTTCCCGCTAAGGGCACGTACTTCGGTTGCAGTTGGTCCCCGGCCCTGGTTGGTCGTGCGGGTGGCAGCCACTAGATGTGTCCCTTTCACATCGATGTTTCCCTCTCTCTCTCTTCCTCTCTCTCCCTCCCACTCTATCTGTACAAAAAATGGAAAAATGTCCTCGGGTGAGGATAAAAAAAAAATGAAGTCTGGAGATTATATGAGTGTCCTAAAGACTAAAATTGTGTTTGCTGGTTTTTCCCTTTATATTCAGGTTTTTTTAAACATATAACTCTTATTGTATTGCTGAATTCAATTTGCTAATTATTTTATTTAGAGATATTGAGATATTAATATGTAATTTTATTTTTTTATGTCTTTGTCTAGTTTTGGTATTAGAGTAACCGTACTTCATAGAATGTGTCAGAAAGTATTTCCTCTGTTACTGTCTTTTGCATGAGATTATAAAGTGGTATAATTTCTTAAATGGTTGGTAGAATTCATTAGTGAACACATATGGGCCTAGTTTCTTTCTTTTAAATGATTAGTAATTATTGATTTATTTTTATAGATATAGACATATTCAGAAATTGTCTATTTCTTCATGTGTGAGTTTTAGCAGGTTGTGCCTTTCAAATATTTGGTCCATTTCATCTAGCTTAGAACATTTGTGGGCATAGAGATGCTCATAATATTCCTTTATTATTCTGTCAATGCTCATGAGATATGCAGTGATGTCCTTCTCTTGTAATTCTAATATTAGTAATTTATGCTCTCTCTCTCTTATTTCTTATCCTTCCTAGCACCTTATTAATTTTATTAATCTCTTCAAAGAACCAAATTTTGGTCTCATTAATTTTCTTTATTAATTTTCTGTATTTTTATTGATTTGTGCTCAATTGTTTTTATTTCTTTTCTTTTGTATATATTGAATTCAATCAGGTTTTTCCCAGGTTCCTAAGGTGAAGGCATAGATTATTAATTTCAGAACTTTCTTCTTTTCTAGTAAATGCATTCAAGGCTATAAATTTTCCTCAAGCACTACTTTTGTTATTGCCATAAAGTTTGATAAGTTGTGTTTGCATTTTTATTTAGTTAAAATATAACATGATCTAATATGTGGAATCTAATGAACAAAATAAACTGATGAATAAAATAGAACCAGAGGTATGGATACATGGAACAGACTGACAAATTTCAGAGGGAAGAGGGGACGGGGGACAGGAAAAGATTAACCAAAGAACTTATATGCATATATGCACTGCTCATGGACACAGCCAATAGGGTGGTGAAGACCTGGGGTGGGGAGGGACCTGGTGGAGGAGGGTAATGGGGGAAAAAAAGGGAGGACATCTGTAATACTCTCAACAATAAAGATAAAACAAAATTCTTACATTTCTGAGATTTCTTCTTGAACCATGTGTTACTTGCTTATTGTGTTTTTTTTGATGTACAAATATTTTGAAATTTTCCATTTATTGTCCTGTATTGAGTTTTAATTTAATTCCACTGTGGTCTGAGAGCCTACATTTTATTATTTATCATCTTTCACATTTTGTTAGTGTGTGCTTTATGGCCCAGAATGTGGTCTACCTTGGTGACTATACTGTGTGAGGTTGAGAAGAGTATGTATTCTGCTGCTGTATATAAAGTAGTCTGTAGCTGTCAGTTATATACAATTGACTGATGGTGCTGTTGATTTCAACTCTGCCCTTACTGATTTTCTGCCTTCTGAATCTGTTCATTTGTGATAGAAGTGTGTTGAAGTCTCTAAATATATAACAGAGCATCCATTTAGCTCTCCTTCTAGTTCTATCAGTTTCTGTCTCATGTATTTGACACTATGCTGTTAAGCACATATACATCAAGGATTATTCGGTTTTCCTGGATAATTTAGCCCTTATCATTCTGTAATGCCCCTTTTTATACCTGATTATTTTACTTGCTCTCAAATATGTGTGGTTTGAAACTGGTATTGCTACTTCACCTTTCTTTTGATTAGTATTAGCATGGTGTATTTTTCTGCATCCCTTTGTTTAACCTGTAGGTGTCTATATTTAAAGTGGGTTTCTTTTAGACAACATAGAACTGGATCTTGTTTTTGTATCCACTCTGACAGTTAATTGGACTTTTAATTGATCTGTCACTTAGTTGGTGTATTTAAACCATTGACATTTAAGGTGATTATTGATATAGCTGATTAATGTTTACCTTATCTGTTACTGTTTTGTCTCTCTTGTTCTTTGATTCTATTTTTGTATTCAAGTATTTTTATGCCTTATGTAATTTTACTTAAGCATTTTATATGGTTTTATGTCTAGGCTTTCTTAAAATATCAATTATATTTTTATTAGTTTTTCTAGGGTTTGCAGTATACTTTTAAAAGTAATTCAAGTACATTTTCAAATAGCACTATATTACTCACAGGTAATGCAAATGACTTATAATAAAGTATTTCTATTCCTCCTTCCTATCTCTTGTGCTATAATTTACATTCTTTTCACTTTTCTAAACTCTATATTTTTAATATACTTTTTCTGGTATTGTTTTGAACACACTGTTATCTATTGTATCAACTATAATAAAAAATAAAGGTTTTTATTTTATGTTGTTTCTTTATGTAGATACAAGTTTCTGCCCTATACGATTTTCTTTCTCTTTTAATAACTTCTTTTAACATTCCTTGCAGGGCATGTCTACTGGCAACAAATTTCCTCAACTTTGGTTTGTTTGAAAATGTCTTTATTTCTTCTTCATTTTTAAAAGATAATTTCTCAAGATACGGAATTCTAGGTTTTGTGTTTTTTTTTCTTTCAACCTTTAAATACAGTGGTTGGCAAAAGTAGATTTACAGTCACGAGTGCACTGTGCCATTATTAATAAAACTTTTATAATAATCATAATCTTCAGGTCTTTATCCAATTGAACAACTATAAACCTGCTTTTGCCCACCCGTGAATTTCACTCAACTCTCTTTCATCTGCATCGTTTTTGAAGTCAACTCTGGTGTGATTCTCACTCTCGCAGCTCTATATGTAAGGTATTATCTTCCTAAGGCTCTTTTCTTTTTCTTTCCTTTTTTTTTTTGTTTTGTTTTTGGTGGTACGTGCCCCTAGCGGGAACCGAACCTGGGACTCATTGGTCCGCAGGCCAATGCTCAATCGCTGAGCCAAACTGGCCAGGGCTATCCTCAGGCTCTTTTCAAGATTTTGGGGGCTTTGATTTTCTGTAATATGAATATGATATGGTTAGAATTATTTTTCATTTATTCTGCTTAGTGATTTTTTAGTTTCCTGAATCTGTGCCTTAATATCTGCCATTGATTTGGGGACATTCTCAGTCATCCTTCCTTCAAATACTTCTTATGCCTTTCTCCGTGGATTCTTCCTCTGACATCCCTTTATGCATATGGTACAGCATTTCAGTTGTCCCTTAGTACTTGGATATTTTGTGGGTTTTGTTGTTGTTGTTGTTAGGCTTTTGTGGTTTTGATTCTTTTTTTGTTTTTTCATGATTACCCTTAGGTAATTTTTAAATTTGCATTGTATATATGAAAACATTTTTTGCAATCATTAAGAACACACACACATAGGTGTACAAGACTCAGCTCAGTTTTACAGATTATAGATCTTTCAGGGCGGGGACCAGGTTTTTGAAACTGTTAAATTACCAAGATGATTCTGATGATGTCAAGCTTAGGAACCACCCAGGAAAACCACTAGTACTTAATGCTTAATATTAAAGTGTACATGTGAGACTATAACTTTATAGCCCTAACTAGAAAAGCATATGCAGGGAGTGGGTCAAGGATATATTACACTTTTTTGTTTCTCCTACAATTCTTAGCTCAGAAAAGTTACCCAATAAATATTTTTTTGATAGAATAGTACAGAAATACAATTCCACTTTTCAGTTACATTTCATGCCAGTGTGCATTTTTAAGATATATTTAACATTTAGCATTATGGGGCAATTAAAAATGACCACTTTCAATACATGGAACCCAAATGTCAAAAAGTGCCAACAATAATTTTTCTTTTTTAAAGGTCATAGGTATGGCTAGACTGCAAAGGGCAAGTGGTAAAATCCAAATCTAAGATTCTAAGACTTAGCAATGAGTCAGACTTCATAGGCCAAATGAGTAAAAGTAGCATCAGAAAATAAAGTGTGTGGATAACAGATTCTGAAAAAGCATCATTTTATTATGGAGAGCATACAAATCCCTCTCCTCAGAGGGAAAGGTACTATTTCCCTTCTCCTGGATGGTAGATAGTGAGCTACCTGGGTAAGGCCCAACCATGGCTCCCGGCCATTATTCTCATCTCTTCTACAACACCACACGGCTCTGGCAGAGATGCTGGCCAAACCTGACCTTCATTCAAGACGTCAAGAACCGTGCGTGCTGGCCTTGCACGGACATTAAGTGGGTGAAGTCATGTTGGGCCTTACCCAGGTATCTCATGTCCACAGTCCCCAGCTTTCTCTTCGACCGGTCTTCTCATGTCGGTTACAGTGTTTGTAGAGATATCTGATGCATTTGTTAAGGTTGTGCAAGTCATCAGAGAACATCCGATTTCCAACCATTTTCTTCTTTCGTATACAACGCTGCAATTCATTGCCCTTCCAGCCTCGAAGCCATCTAGGGCCCTTGATTAGTTCTTTGGGGTGCTTTTCAAAATTTCCCAGGATCCCGATGTTATCATGTACCCCAAACATGGCCCTCTTCTCGTTCCAACGATCAACCACTTTGGGAGACAGGACGGTGAGCCATACAAAATACAATACAGGAACACCCAGAGAGAAACTTCTGCAGGCCAGGGGCACCCAGCTCCATAGGCGCCTTCCTGCACCCCCAGCGAGGCTCCCGGCCATTATTCTGGTGTCTCCCCTACAAGAGCACACGGCTCTGGCAGAGATGCTGGCCAAACCTGACCTTCAAGACGTCAGCAACCGCGCGTGCTGACCTGGCATAGACATTAAGTGGTCGAACCCATGTTGGGCCTTACCCAGGTCTTAGTTTTGACTCTTTCCTTAGCAGTGTTTAGTTTACTGAGGAGACTGTCAAAGAAATTATTTATTTTTAATATGCTGTTTTTGAGAACCAGAATTTATTTTGTATTATTGTTTAGAATTTCATTTTCCCCGCTTACATTATTGAGATCATTTATTTTATGTTAAGCTTGATGGAGAAATGGGGAACCCTACTATTCGGTCAAATATTATTTTGATGTTTCTCTGAGACTGTTATTAGATAAGATTAACATTTTAATTGATAAATTGAGTAAAGCAGATTGCTGTCCCTAAGGTAGGTGGGCCTTATCCAGTTAGGCGATGGCCTGAATAGAATAAAAAGGCTAAATCCCTCTTGAGTTGAGAAATCTCTTCCTCTCTATAGCTAAGACCATTCTTTCTATCTGAAACCCTTCAGTCCAGAATATCAGCCATTTTTCTGGTTTCAGATCCAAACTATAATATTGGCTCTAACTGGGTCTCAAGCATGTAGGAGTCTGAATTGAAACTACACCATCAGCAGTCCTGGGTTTCAAGCTTGGGACTCAGATTGGAACTATATCATCAGGACCTCTGAGTCTTCAATTTTGCCAACTCACCCTGCAGATCTTACCTCATCTCTCTCTTTCTCTCTCTCTCTCTATATGTATATGTATATATATATGTATATGTATATATGTATGTATATATGTATATATATATGTATGTATGTGTATACATACATATGTATAATGTATGTATGTGTATATATATGAATATATATATGACATATTGGTTGTTCTTCAGGAGAAATATGACTAATAAAATTACCCATTTGTCCTTAAATGTTTACTTTTTCCATAAAATCCTTTAGTATACTTATCAGAGTTAAATTCCCTGTCTGATAATAATAATATCCCTGCCATATCTAAATCTGTTTCTGATCCTTGCGGTGTCTCTCCAGAATATTTTTGGCTTTTTTTTGTTTACTTGTTTTTTGTTTTTTAGAATGCTTTGCCATTTTTTGTTGAAAGCCAGACATGAAGTACTGGGTAAACAGAAGGAAAGTAAATTGGACATCCGAGTTCTGTTGGTGCGGTGTAGGGCTAGGCGAAGCTTTCTTTAGCACTATTATTAGGTGCCAGATTTTAGTGATCCTATGTTTCTGAGCTGGGACTTGCACAAGTGCTCTTCAGTCCCCCCTACTACCTTAATGAGACAGGATGACTAAAGCAATATGGTTTCTGATAAAACCCCAGGAAGTTAGTCTCTGTTAAAAAAAAAAAAAAATATATCTTGTAGCCAAGCCTTGTTAAGAACATAATGTTCTGGATGGATTTCAAAATGCTTGCTGTCTCCCTTCCCCTGCCAGAAGCAGGATGAGATTTTTCTCAGATCTTCACTCTGAGGACCTGGTAAGACTCCTTGAAGTAAACCACTCTAAAATGTGCCCTGCTCCAAAGAAGATCAGGCTCCACCAGCATTTTTAAGTTTCATACTTTTCCATACTGAGCCTCCAGTCCTTTATCAATTACAGTTTCAATTTTCCTGCCTCAGTTCCTGGAAGATTTCTGCTTGTGAATTTCTGCTCTAACGTATTGTATGTTTGCGTTTACCTGACTGTGTCTCCAATTTGAGGGCCGGTTGTTTTTGCAGTGACCCCAATTCTCTGACATATACAAGAAGATTTGGTAATTTTTAGTTTGTTCAGCTTCTTACTTGTTAAGATGTAGCTCAAAGCTCTTTATATGCCAGACTGGTTAAGAGGAAATCACTACAGTGAGATTAATGTTTATAAATTAAAATACAATATTTTATTTGCTTATAGTTTCTCGTTGCATTCAGCATAAAGCCCCAAACCCTCCTTGATAAAGACCTTTTTTACTTCTATAGTTTGAACTCTCAGAAGTGTCAATCTTCTTTGAAAACCTTAAATTTTTAACCATAAACCATTGGTTATTTACAAACAATAAATAACATAATTGTTTATGTACATTTTCTCTTTTCCTGGAATGTATTTTTTTGTTTTATTTACTTTCTCATTGCATTTCACCTTTAATACTTGAATGGCATCTTTTTTTACAAACTTTTTTCCCAGAGTAGCTCTCCCACGTCTGTCTGCTAAGCAATGGATAGAATAAATTTCTCTCTCTGTTTTTTTTTTTTGTTGTTCCTCCACTAGTACTCTGCAAATACCACATTGTATCAAAGTCATTTGTATATAACTTGGGCTAAGGAAGGCATGATATCAAAGGCAGATATTTTGAAACAAAAAATACATCATAAAATAGGTTTCAAGTTCCAAATTAATTGTTTTCTTTAGCCATTTTATTGAATTATTTTTAGAAAACAAATTAAGCCCTATTTAGGGAACTTGAACATCCGATTACAGTAACTGGCATTTGTGAAGTCAAATTATGGGAAATGGTAGTAATGATTTAAGCATTTCCTGGTTTGAAGTTGGAAGAGCTTTCTTTTTGGAAATAAAATATCCTGCATGGAGCTTCTGTGACTCTCGGTCATCAATAGCAAGTCCACTCTTTTAAACATGGTTTAAAAATCCCTGTAAGAACTAATTCTCTCTTACATTTCTATCATAATCTCTTCCCTTTTTCTCGTTTTCTTTCAATCCTTATATACCCTAAACAATCCAGTCTGAATTTTTGTCTGTTCCCAGGTCTTGTCATGACCTCTTTTGCACAGGCTCTTCCTGTAAATTTCATTTCATCCCTATCACCTGGAAAAAACACTACTTGGCTTAAGTGTCATTTGTAGATTTCAGTTTAAGTATCATTTGTAGGTTTCAGTGTAAGTACTATGTCTAGGTCTCAGTTTAAGTATCATTTGTAGGTCTCCCCTTAAGTATCATTTTATCTGATATCTTTTTATCTGTTGGTTAGTTCACTATACTATGTTCTCTCCTAATACTCTGTATTCATGCATTATAACACTTATTTAACTGCCTGCTATTTAGCTCTATCTTTGACAGATTTTAAGCTCTAAGAGGGAAGAAATACTATTACTTGTTAACTAGTCTATCCCCAGATTCTAGAATAAGGATGACATGGAATAGGCATTTCAATAAATACTGGCTGAATTAATATACAACACATGAATATGTACAACATTGAAAATCTAGTTTGAGAAGTGAGCACATAAATTATTCATCTTGACTTGTCTTTTTAAATTGTCATTAAAGATTGTATACTCCTTGAGTTCTGAGAGAGAACATTGCTTTCCATTGGGCTTCTTTCTATTCCAGTACATAACTAAGCTTGCTTTTTATAAACTCTACGAATAGAGCCTTGATCTTCTGAAAAATGGAAGTGGTTTGCATTTGTTAAACTGTCCTTTAAATGTTTTATGCATTTGCATTCTAGCCCAAAAAACTTTTCAGTTATATGTCCCCATATATCTTATCTTTCCAGTCTTCTGTTTAGGATAAATTACACTTATCTAATTTCACAGCTTTGTGCCATTCCCTGTACCCATTACTATTACTGAATTCTAAGCGTATTTCATCATTCTGTTTAAATGCCCATGTTTTATCCTTGATCATCTCAGCAAAGAGTTATTCATATGTAAAATACATAGCATAGTGCTTGGTTCATATTAAGTGGTCAAGATATATTAATGCCTTCTCTCTGTACTACTGTCATGAAAAGCGCCACACTTTGCATTGAAATGTAGGTATTTAGTTATCTCTCTCACTATATTGTACATTCGCTGAGGGCGAGATTTGGTTAACATTTTTGTTTCCAAAATTTTGAACATGACCTTTACATATAGATATATTTACTTACCGAAATTAATTGGACAGTACACTCAAATTCCAGATATTTCACTACCTGTAAATTATACCGTAATAAAAATTTGTACTGTTCTGCAAAATCTCCAGCAAAATTACATGCATGTGTTGCACATTAGTTATTTTCTGTATTACGTATATTTCCTTGTAGGTTTCTCACAACTTTATTATGGAGAAGCACTGAACAAAAACACTAGATATTTTTATAAATGAATTTCTTGTTTGCATATTAGGAAACTTTTCTTTATAAAATCACTTTTTCTGGAAACATCCTTTGACCACAGTCTTTCAATACATTTATACACAAATCTATGTAAATATTATTTTAGAAAATCATTCTAAAATCACTATTCTTAAAAAAGCTTATTCTGTCCCTTTAAGCTTAGACTCCTTTACCTGGTTTTTGGGTCTTCTGCCTTACCCAACTTACTCTTCATGATACACGATCCGGTACAGCCAGTGTGTTCTGCTTATTTCACCTTGGCGACCTTTTCATTATTTAATTAATTACCTCCCATTTCTTTGCCTCTCTAAATTCTATATAAATCTCAACATCAAGTTTTCTACTCTTTTCTAAAAAAAAAGTTGATTTGATCATTTACACCTGTATCATTCGGTCACTTATGCCTTCATATTGCATAAATTTGTATTTGCATCACCACAAAATTATTTGTTTTAATTTTCTTTCTTTCTCTCTTTTCCCTTTATATTGAATGTATTGGGATGACACTGGTTAACATAATTATACAGATTTCAGGTGCACAATTCTACAGCGCATCATCTGTACAGTGTATTGTGTGTTCATGACCACAAATCAAGTATCTATCCATCACCATTTATCCCCCCTACACTCTCCTCCAACTCCTGCCACACCCTTCCCCTTGACAATCACACTGTTGTCCATGTTCATGAGCTTTTTCTCTCTTGGTAATTTCTTTTTTGCTCAATACCTCCAGCTCCCCACACCCAGCCTCCCTCCCTCTCCTGACAGCTGTCAGTCTTCTCTCTATCTATGAGTCTGGCTGTATTTTGCTTGTTAGTTCATATTGTTCATTAGATTCCACATATAAGTGCA